TTCTCCAGCGAAAGAGACGACCAGCCCTCCCCCAGCTTCATCTTTTTCCATGCTTAAACACCAACAACCCTAGAAACCCAACGACCACTCCCTGAACCGGACTAGCCGCTGTTTCTCATCCAGTGAACTCCTCAAAAACACACGAACCTCCATCACCTTAGACCTGCCATTTCACCTCCTTTCTTCAGCCTTTGATCATCTCGTTATGCTCCACATAAACACACATAAGAATCGAAAAACAAAAGAGAAAATCTGGGCAGAAAATTATCTAAAGAAAACGGAGGTTTTGGCGTTTGATTTCAATTAGTTTGGTTCATATTTGATTTCAAATTCAGAATATATAAGGAGAAGTTAGTCCATTCTTTGGTTTTTGGATTTCAAACGTTGGAGTTGCTGTTCGAGATCTGAAAATCCGGCGAGGTCTCCGGGCGAGTTTTCTGTAATTCGGAATTCCATTATCGAGCTTCATTTCAAACCTGAGTTCATAGAGGTCCGTTTCTCACTTTTCTTGGTCATTGCTATTAACCTGTTAAATGATATGAAAGACATTGGCATCATTAAATGCCTCAGGAGTGTTGGTTTGTGCAGTGATTCATGGCACTATTGTTACGCCACTATCGATATGCTTTCTTTGGATTACTTTTTTTTTTTTTTTTTGGTGATAGTAAGCTTGCATTAAACAAAAATAACGTAGCTACAGGGAGGTAGATGCAGATGCATCCATTTCAGAGTTGTTTGTAACGCAGAAACTAGTAGTAGAAACAACATGTGCCCTATTGTGAGTATCTAGTACAAGAGGGCTATTAGAAGCATCCATGCACATATTGTGTATGTTTTGATTGGCAAAAGCCTGGTCTTCATCAGTCATATGATGCAATATGCAGTGTTTCTTCCTTATACGCATGACTCCAGTTCGGTCGTTATGCAAAAAGGTTTCAACAAAATCCGGTGGTTCCTCAAAAAATAATGGTGTAGCTATTGTTGATATAGTGCATCCAGCTTTAGCTAAACCATCAGCCACCTTGTTACCCTCCCTGTAGGTGTGCTCCACGATGGCATTACGCAAGAGGCCCAGGATGTACCTGCAGTCAGTGATCAAGTTAGCATAATGCATATTATCAGAATGTAGCAGATGCAATACCTGTACAGCATCAATGTTAACTTCTAGGGCACCAGATTTCGTTTAAGTGCCAGTTCCAGTCCCAAGTATAGTGCACGAAATTCTGCTTGGATGGCAGTGGCATTTTCCAAGTTATCAATAAACCCTACGATCCAGCGACCCTGGCTATCACATATAACCCCTCCCATACCTGCTACGTTTGTTGATGAAGACCTAGCCCCATCCGTGTTTAGTTTATAGAAATTGGGCTTGGGTGGTATCCAGGTAATATATTGCAGGACATAGTTCCTTTTTTGTGAGTATTTGGCAGCCAGGTAGGTGTATTCTAACGCACTGTTGGTTATTTGCCTAAGAGATAGTGTCCTTTTCATATTGTTAAAAATATTATGGTTTCTTTTGTTCCAAATATGCCATAATGTGTAAGCTGTAAAAGTTTTTGCATTAATAAGGTGAGGCATTGGAAATTTATTTTTGTTGATTAGCGGATCTAGCCATTGATTGTGGTGATTATGAGGGAGTATGAAGTTAGTAGTGCTAGTCATGCCCAGTTGTTGTCATATGTGGACGATGGTTGGACAATGTATAAATAGATAATATAAGATTGGTTATGTAGTTGATGTATAAATTTTTGTGTGACTTGACTAAATTGCCCTTTCCTTATATCACCATCAATCACTACGCACTTTCCGATACAATAGCTCTTGCTGCCTTCTTTGTACTCCCCAACGTGGACCCAACGCCCAGTCCCATCCAAATTGGCTTTCACCTTTGAATTTGCCAACTGTTCATAACTTAGAATTCTCTCTTTTGACTTCTGATTTTATAATTGGTTTGTCTGTTTGGATATATTGTATTCCTTTTAAATGATTTTTAGTCTTTTCATTATTTTGTTTGTGTTTATTTTAATTGTTTGCTTGTTCTTTTTTTTTTAAAGGACAAATGAATTGTGTCTCTGTGTGTAGCAGGTTAGCTCACGTTTTTCCCAAAGTAATTGTAAATAATTGTTCTATTACTTAGTGATAAAATTGATCTTGTATCTCTAAGTTTAGGGAAGAAATTCGTTAGCATTAATAGTATACTTTAGACATGTTTCTTAATAAATCTATCAACGTGATTACGTACACGTTCGCGTGGCATAATTACGATACTAAAATCAAATCGGAGTATGCGTTCGTGCAACTTCGATCAAACTTTCTTAATAATAAAATTGGTTTTAATAGGTCGCTAAATTAAATTTAGTTCATATAGTTCGAGGTGCGCCATCCACAATTTAGTCATACATGGCCCTCGTATTAATTTCTTAACTTAGATATAAAAAACAACAAATGTTCGTAGTTTGCTTTAGGCCCGTTTAATATACTATCGTGGTTGTGGACACGTTCGCGCGACATGACTACGACTTCTTAAAAACAAAACCGGAGTATGCGTTTGCGCAACTTCAGCCACATTTTCTTAATAATAATAAAGCGTTACTAATTGTGGACACGTTCGCGTGACATGATTTTTGACACACCAAACAAATGGGTACAGGTACACGTGACCCGTTTTAAGATAATTTCTTAATTAAAAGAAGCAACTGCACATAGGTTCCAAAGTGAGTAATTGAGCAATTTTAATAAGCTAAGTATGATCAAAGCGATCGTGCTAGAACCACGGAACTCGGGAGTGCCTAACACCTTCTCCCGGGTTAACAGAATTACTTACCCGGATTTCTGTATTCGTAGACCGTAAATAAGAGTCAATTTTCTTGATTTGGGATTCTAAGTCGGTGACTTGGGACACAATAATTATCCTAAGTGGCGACTCTGATCTTAAATAATAATCCCGTTTTGATTGTCACTTAAATTGGAAAAACTCCCATATACCCCCTTTCGGGGTAGAAAAAGGAGGTGTGATATAGGGGAAACATAAAGATTACACATAGTAACGCTTGACTGCATCTGAATTAATCAGCATTGGCCAAACTTCTCCGTCCATTTCTGCAAGTATGAGGGCTCCTCCTGTCAAAACCCGGTGAACCATGTATGGGCCCTGCCAGTTGGGAGAGAACTTCCCTTTGGCTTCATCTTGATGCGGAAAAATTTTCTTAAACACCAGCTGTCCGGTGTGAACTGTCTTGGCTTGACTCTCTTGTTGAAGGCTCCGGACATTCTGTTATGATAGAGTTTACCGTGGCAAACTGCGTTCATTCTCTTTCCGTCTATAAGAGCTAGTTGCTCATAACGACTCTTCACCCACTCTGCGTCGTTGAGCTCAGCTTCCTGTATGATCCTTAGGGAAGGAATTTCTACTTCGGCGGGAATGACGGTCTCTGTACCATAAACCACCATATAGGGGGTTGCTCGGTTGATGTACGGACTGTGGTGCGATACCCCAATAGAACAAATGATAACTTCTCGTGCCATCGTTTATGCATCTCTATCATTTTCCTCAATATCTTGATATTCTTGTTGGCGGCTTCTACGGCTCCATTCATTTGAGGCCTGTAGGCTGTGGAATTCTTGTGTCTGTTCTTAAAGGTTTCACACATGGCTTTCATCAAGTCGCTGTTGAGATTGAAGCCATTATCAGTAATGATTGACTCTGGAATACCGAATCGACAAATAATGCGGTCGCGAACAAAGCCTGTCACGACTTTCTTAGTCACTGCTTTGTAAGACGCTGCTTCGACCCACTTGGTGAAATAGTTAACTGCCACTAGGATAAACCTGTGTCCGTTGGAAGCGGCAGGCTCGATTGGTCCAATGACGTCCATTCCCCAGGCAGCGAACGACCATGGTGAGCTTGTTGTGTTGAGCTCGCTTGGAGGTACCTTTATCATGTCTGCATGTACCTGGCAGCGATGGCATTTCTAGACATACTGGATGTAGTCTCTTTCCATAGTCATCCAAAAGTAACCAGCCCGGAGTATCTTCTTTGCTAAGACAAAATCGTTCATATGTGGACCACAGGTCCCTGCATGAATTTCCTCTAGTAGCTTGGACGCTTCCTTTGCGTCGACACATCTTAATAGTCCCAAATCAGGAGTCCTCCTATACAGGATTCCTCTACTGTGAAAGAAGTTGTTGGACAATCTCCGAAGTGTGCGTTTTGAGTTTGATTGGCAAGCTCAGGGTACTCTCCTTTTGCCAGATATTCCTTGATATCATGAAACCAAGGCTTTCCGTCTGCTTCCTCTTCGACATTGGCACAGTAAGCTGGCTGATGATGAATTTTCACCGGAATGGGATCAATAAAATTCTTATCCGGATGCTGTATCATAAATGATAGGGTAGCCAATGCATCAGCGAACTCATTCTAGACTCTGGGAACATGTTGGAATTCCGTCTTCGTGAACCTCTTTCTCAATTCCTGTACATGATGCAGATACGGGAGTATCTTGGAGTTCTTGGTTGCCCATTCTTCTCGTACCTGATGTATAAGTAAATCCGAATCTCCGATCACTAGCAGTTCTTGCACGTTCATGTCAATGGCCATTTTGAGCCCTAAGATGCAGGCTTCATACTCGGCCATATTGTTGGTGCAGGGGAACCTGAGTTTGGCGGACACTGGATAATGCTTGACCGGTTTTTGATACCAAGACTGCTCCTATGCCAACTCCTTTGAAGTTTGCTGCTCCATCGAAGAACATTCTCCAACCGTCATAGGATTCTGCAATGTCTTCTCCTATGAATGATACCTCTTCATCAGGAAAATACGTCTTCAGGGGTTCGTATTCTCCATCCACGGGGTTTTCGGCAAGGTGGTCTGCCAGTGCCTGTCCTTTGACCGCCTTCTGAGTTACGTAAACAATGTCAAACTCACTCAACAGGATTTGCCACTTGGCTAGCTTGCTAGTGGGCATGGGCTTCTGAAATATGTACTTTAAAGGATCCATCCTTGATATGAGGTATGTGGTATAGGCACGAAGTAATGTCTCAGTTTCTGAGCTATCCAAGTCAAAGCACAACAGGTGCATTCCAAAAGAGAATATCGGGCTTCGTATGGAGTGAACTTCTTGCTGATATAATAAATGGCTTGTTCCTTTCTCCCCGTTTCATCATGTTGCCCCAAAACGCAGCCGAAAGCTCCGTCTAACACTGCAAGGTAGAGTAATAAGGGTCTGCCTGGCTCGGGCGGGACCAAGACTGGTGATGTTGACAGGTACTCCTTAATTCTGTCGAAGGCCCTTTGGCAGTCATCAGTCCATTTGGTAGCGGCGTCCTTCTTTAGCATTTTAAAGATTGGCTCACAGATAACTGTAGACTGTGCTATGAATCGGCTGATGTAGTTCAGCCTTCCTTAGAAACTCATCACATCTTTCTTGTTCTTTGGCGGTGGTAATTCTTGAATGGCT